GTGGGAGGCGTCAGTAGTCTTAGCCTGTAAACTCTTCACTGGGTGTTTGGTGCTGTCTCTTGGAGACTACTAGTCCCAGAATGCAACACACCCTGCCTCATTTCTGGTAGATCATGCTTGGGAGAAGCCGTGTGTGGTTATGGAGCTGTGCATCTTGGGACATGTAGTTCCAGCCCAGGTCGGCCTGTCACTCTCTGTGAGATGGGGGATCTTATCATTTGCTATGTCCCTAACAGGGGTGGTGAGAAAGTGGATGAAGGGGTAATGGTCCAAGCTTCCATTCCCCTGACACCTCTTGCTAGCAGCGGGGTTAGTGTGTACAAATCAAAGTCCTGTGACATCTGGGAGAGGCTCTTTTCCTGTGGGCAGTACTGGGGTCTGGGGAACAAGCTGGGGTGGGATCACTAAAAAGCTGATGGGTGTGGACCGGCAGAGAGCTTGAAGGCAAGGGCCCTCTGGCGTGTGTGTGTGTGTGTGTGTGTGTGTGTGTGTGTGTGTGTGTGTGTGTGGGATTGGCATGCGATGGGTACTCCAGGCATGTTGCTGCTTGTATGGCTTCTATGGCCTCTGACCCTGCTGTCCATTCTCTCTCCAACTCCACAGCTGAGCTGCCTCTCCTCCTCCCTGCCTGGGGAGCCCAGTGGCCAGGGAGGGGAGTGGTGGAGCCGGGGTGTTGCCAGACCCTGTGACATTGCATCTCAGAGACCTATCAAAGCCAGCTGGGCTGAGCTCAGACCAGAGGGAAACACTGGAAGTCAATAAAGCTGTTTCGAGAGCTCAGTGGTGTGCTGTGCTCCTGTGTTCTTCCCTTCCAGGGAGGCCCAGGGGACCTGTGGGCCAGGGGATGACACAACTCCTTTATTGCCCAAACATCTAGAGGTTGCAAGCCTTCCCAGCTGACAGCAGATGTCCCCTCTTTGACCAGGCTGCCCCCAAAGTATGTTGTAGAATCCTGAGAAATGCTCACAGTCTTCTGCCCTCACCTCCTGGAGCCCCACAAATGGCTTTCCCCAGGCAGCTGCATTCCCTTTACTCCGCAGGGACCCACCACCCAATACTCGGCAGCACAGCTTGGACCCGGCTAAGGTATGACTTGACTAAAAGCATGAGGACAACAAAGCAGGGAACACATGGTGGAAACCTGTAAAAATGTAGGTACATTGAGCCCCATTCACAGGTTTCCTTAGCCCAAAACCAACGGTAAGTCTCAGAGGCCTGCCTCCCCCACATGGAGTGGCACAAGTCTGCCGCACTCAGGGTCCCGGTCCCCAGCTCATCAGGACCCAGAGAGGAGAAAGCCAGGCCCTCTCCTGTTCCCCACATACCTGTAGAGATGCCACTCCAGCCAAGGTACAAGCGCCTTTCCATTGTCAAGCAGGGCAGTTGGCTCCCCACCAACTCTCCCATTCCAGGATAAATGCTTGGCTTCCTTATCATTAGCCAAAGGGCCTAGAGTGTATTTTTCTCAGCAAAGAAGCAGCCTGCCCTGAAAGAAGAATTTAAAGCCTCTCTCTTGAGAGAGAGAAGAAATCTGCTAGTCACGTGGCTGTTCTGCCACTTCCAGCCTTTGAGAGCTCAAGCAAACTGGAATTGTGCACCTCAGCTGAGCCAGGTGAGGCACAGAGGACCAGCCCCTGCTCGCTGGCCCCTTCACTCCCTGCATGGGGCAGATGGTACTTGCCCTGTTTTCCATGTGAGGGGACTGAGCCTTGGCAAGGTTAAGTGGCCCTAACACTCAAGTAGCTCCAGGTCCAAGGCTCATTTTGTCTCATTTCTATGTTGTCCACCTTTGTCCAATGATGCCTAGTGACACACAAGTGAGGGCTCCTCCAGGACCATACAGGATGGACAGTTCTGGGAGCAGGGAGATAGGGAAGAGGTGCCTTTGCCACCAGGTGACTGTCAGTTGTGACATCTCACAGGCTTAGTCTCTTCGAGTTTAGCTAATTTTGCTTAAGGTGTGGCAGGCAGTTTGTTTAGTCTTAACCTCAATCCCACACAATGTACATCATTCCTGAGGCCCAAGGGCACGAAGCAGCTGCCTGAGAACTGAGAAGAGGGGCAGTAAAGAGATTCAGCATGCCTGGGTTTAAATCCTAACTCCACGTCGTACAAGTCCTGGTACCTCAGGCAGGTTCTGTGCCAGTCTCTTCATGTGTAAAATGGGGCTAAGAATCAGTAGCACTGTCATGAAGATTAAACAAGTGAATGTATGTAGGCACCTAGGAGACTGCCCGACACTCAGGAGGTATAGTGCAGAAAACCAGCAGCCTGGTCGTTAGCTCCCATTCAAACCCTGGGGAGCCTGTGCATCTCTAGAGCACGTAGGCCGGCTCCAGCCTGAGGCTGGGCTGCAGTGTGGAAGCAGAGCAGACAGGAGTGTGGAGGAGTCCAGGGTGCAGCTGCACACACAACACACTAACTTTATTCACATTGATACAAAAGTAGATTTTTCTTGAAATGTTCTCTTGTGTCAGAGGGAGAGAGTTGAGCAGCACGTGGCAGGCGGGCGGGGGGCAGGGGGGCGAGGAGAGGAGCTCTGAGGGTGAGGGCAGAAGGGCAGGGGCCAGAGTGTGGGTCAGGGAGTCAAGACAGCGGGGAGCAGGGGCTGGGAAAGCAGTGGAAGCTGGGGGTGGTTGCTCCTCCACCCTGTTCCGTCCACACAGGAGGGTAGGAGGTGGGGGGTGTCCCCACAGACATGTCTGGAGCATCCAGAAAGGTGAGAGATAGGGGCCAGGGAACTCAGGCAGGAGAAGGCTCTGGGTGCAGTGAATGCCCAGGACTTTTCCTCCTCCTGGCTGGCTGCCAGCTCCCCCGTGGGATGCCCCAGGCTCCAGCACATGTGGGGCTGAGCAGGCCTGCCCCTCCCCACTTCCCCTACCTTCCTTACACACTCCTACTGGAGGAGCTACGCCAGGAGGGGCCAAGGTGCGGGTGGGGGAATGAAGAGTGGCACACAGATAGATGCTCACACAGGCAAAGAAGGAATGGAGCCTAGCTGCCCACTGGGGGCCCCCGCAGGCTCACTGGGGCAGGGCCTTGAGGATGGCATTCACCTCTTCTGCCACAGCTGTCAGGGCAAATTCAAACTGGTCCTGAGAAGGGCAGTGGGAGGAGGGTCATGGGAAGGCCTGGTCTCTGCTCTGGCCCCAGGGGGGGCCTTTGGGAAGGGGAGCTGGGAGGTCACTTGGAGGGGAAGTCCTCCTGGGAGGGGTACAGAGGCAGGCAGGGGGAGGCAGGCTGCTGCCAGTTTCCCTGGGGAAGGGTGGCAGCGAGGGTTGAGGCAGGGAGGAACAGTCACCTTAGAGCGAACAAGGCCAGGTCGCTGGTCACGGACATGCTCCAGGGTGGCAGCGATGTCAATCTCCTTCACTCCTGGGGGTGGAGGACATGGGGCTGCTCGGGGTGTCCAGAGGAGGACAAGACCCAGAAAGCCTGGGTGATCCTGGGGTGGGAGGTTTGGAAGACTGGACAAAGCCTGGGGCTGGGCTGCAGGCTCTGTGGGGAAGGTCCTCACCTTTTGCCATGCGGTTCAGAACCATGTCGATGAGAATGTAGGTGCCAGTCCGCCCCGCACCATCACTGAAACAGAAGATGGTGTCAGGCTCAGCTCAGCTCAGCTCAGGATCCAGCAGATAAGGGGAAGCGGGGAGGAGACATGAAGGCTTGGGGTAGGGAGGACACTGGTAGAGCCACTAGGATTGGCTCTGAGAGGGTGTCAGTGAACTAAGGATGAGGGGACGGTTACAGCACCCGGGCCCTGGGAACTAAGCCTTGAGTTGGGGGCCTGTAACTCATGGGGTGTCCCTTGGGAGGTGGGCCAATAAGAAAGGAGAGCCCTGGCTCAGCCCTGGGGTAGAGGCAGCAGGAAGAAATGGGGATGGGTTTCCAGCCTGTTATTTTGTGTAAATGGCCAGATAGTAAATATTCCCAACTTTGTGGGCCACACATAGTATCTGTTGCACAGCGACAGATGGTTTTCCCTTTAACCATTAAAAAAACCGAACACCATTCTTAGCTCATGGACTATTATGAAAACATGGCACACTGAATGCAGCCCCTGGGCTGTAGATTGCCAGCAGGCATCAAGGGGACAGGCAGGCAGTGTGCACGGGAGATATGTACAGGGTGTAGGACCAGAACTTCAGGAATCAAACTTCAGGAAGGCCCCACCTTAGGGCCCTCCTGCCTGGGCCCACCCTCCCTGGTCCCTTCCACCCCCACCCCGTCCCACAGCCGCTCTCCAGGCACCTGCAGTGCACGATGATGGGGCAGGAGCGTCCCCGGTAGCACTTGTTCACCTTCCTGCAACAAGAAATGGGTGTGAGGGCTGCGGGGCAGCAGCAGAGGGAAAGGAGAATGGAAACACACCTGTGGGCCTCTGTCTCTTTGCTCCCCACAAGCCCAGGAAAGAGGAGGGAAGAGGGCTGGAGAGAGGGGGTAGGGCTGAAGGCAAAGAACAGGAGGTAGTGTAGGCAGCACTGGGCTTGCCTTGTCACTTACAAGCTCTGTGCCCAAGCTATGTACCTGGAGCAACTGATTTTACTTCTTTGAGCCTCAGTTTTCTTACCTGTAAAGTGGGGATGATAATAATAGTAGCCTTCTCCGTAGGGTTCTTACCATGACTACATGAGATAACCCATGTGAAGAACTAAGTGCAAGGTCTGGCACACAGTAGATGCTCAATAAATGGTAGCTACTGTTAATGATAATACATAATAATATTAACAGCCACCTCTGCCAGAGTACAGAGAGGGCGGGCTTTCTGGTGACTTCAAGGGTGTCAGTCTTGCCACATCACTGCTCTGCCCCTCTGCCCTCCTTTACAACTGCCCCTTCCTCACTCTGATGCCCTTTGGTGCTCATCAGCTGTGAGGTCCTATAGCTCTAGGGACAAAGTTCCTTGGGCCAGGGCAGGACAATCCCTCAACTTGGAACATTGTACTGTTGCCTGTGGCCCTGGATCTGCCTCACCTTAGCACAGGTACTCTGTAGTTGGGTCATATGCATACTTGGGGTCCACTTGGACCTCAGGCTCTTCTCTGCTGCCCTGACCACAGTTCAGGAGCAGACGGTTTCTCCCTCCCTTAGTGGGCCAGTCTGACCTGCCCTTCCCATTATAACCTTGCTTTGAGAGTAACCTACAGAATCCTGATACCCTCAATGGGCCAGGACTAGGGAGGCCTGTCTTAGGGGTTAACAGATTGTTTCAGGGGAAGCTTGGAACTTAGTGGTCCCCACTCTAATTCCCCCAGGCTTGTAGGGCCCAGGTGACTAGATGGTTTTACAGGCACTTGGTTTTCTAGCACATTGGCTAGTATGTCAGGGGGCTGCTGTTGAGCACAAGTTGCAATAGTGGTTTCCAATCATTTAATAATAATGATTATAAACAGTATCTAGAATTCATTGAGCCTTGCTATTTGCCAGGCACTAGATTTTACAGACTTTATCCTATTGATTCTTGCCACAAACCACTAAAGTGTGGGTGGGTCAGCATCCTCATTTCACAGGTAAGGAAACAGAGGGAGGCCAATGAACTTGCTCGGGGTCACTTTCTGAGACTTAAAAAAATTATTTTGCCTTCCCTCTGGTGGACCTTCAATAAATATTATATTTAACTAGCAATTAATTTGTTCCAGGTGCCTAATGCCAACTGAGTTTACATAATTCCAGCCTAAAGCAAAGGAGCATAACCTTTTAGCTGACCTGGGCAGCCTTAAAATGGGCCCATATTCTAAGAGGATATTTATTTATTTATTTATTTATTTATTTATTTATTTATTTATGTCTTTATTGATTTCAGAGAGGGAAAGGGAGAGGTAGAAACATCAATGATGAGAGAGTCATTGATTGGCTGCCTCCTGCATGCCCTCGACTGGGGATGGAACCCGCAACCCGGGCATATTCCCTGACCAGGAATTGAACTGTGATCTCCTGCATCACAGGTCGATGCTCAACCACTGAACCACACCGGCCTGGCTGTGAGGATTTTTTAAATGTGGAAAACAGGAAATAGCTCTGATGCCCTTGGCATTGCTTTTGAGAAGCCTGTGCTTCAGAGCCCATGGACCCCAGGTAGAAACCATTGCTCTGAGGCTCAGAAACTATCCCCATGTCCCCACTCCAGCTCTGCTCCTCTGCACTCTGCCCAGCACCTAGAGACCTTAGGCCAGCCTGGGAAAGGGCAAAGAAGCAAGAGGAGGCTGAAGTGCGGGGGAGGCCCCTCCCAGGGGTGACAGGCTTCTCAGCCACCTGTCTGGGGAGGGGAAGCAGAGGATGCTGGCTGGGTTGTGGTTTCAGGGTCAGAACAGGGTAAATCCCTCACTTAGCTTCCTGTCCCAGCCCTCACCCCATTCCACGGAGTCCCCAAGGATCCAGAGAACCTCAGGCACTCCCTTTGATTTGTCCCTTCTCTGTGTCTGCATAGCCCCCAGCTCTCCCAGCAGCCTTTAGGGTGGTCCCTGGACCCACATGTCCTGTCTGTCCTGTCCATGCAGCAGCCACACCTGCCAATGGTCACTTTTGTGACTATGCAACTGGAGTGAGGATACTAGCTGCAGATCACAAAAATGACACTGGCAGCTGTGTGTGTGTGTGGGGGGGAGGTAAAGAGAGGGGGAGGCAGAAGAGGGGGGGGAAGGACAGAGAAGGAGAGACAGAAAGGCAGGGGCAGAGGGAGACAGAGGAGACAGAGGTGGGGAAGGACAGAGACAAAGAAATGAATAGGAAGAGGGGCAGGGGGCGGAGGAAAAGGGTGGGGAGAGACAACAGGAGGTGCAGACAGAAGTGGGCTAGGGGGTAAGAGAGTGATACAGAGACGTAAAGAAGTAAGGGGAAGAGGGAGGGTGGAGCGGAGGCAGTAGGAAAGGGAAGGGAGGGAAAGAGAAGGAAAGACAGAGAGAAATAAAAATAGAGGCGAAGAGAGGGAGAGGGATAAGGGGGAAGCCGGGCAGGAGGGAGTAAGAGACAGGGGGGGACAGCAGACACGGAGAACAGTGCCAGAGGCCTGGGAGAGCAGGACTGGAGGAAACTGGAGAGTCAGGAGGCAGGGGCCACGTGGAGGGAGAGGAGGAGAGAGGGAAGGAGCCAGAAATAAGGTGAGCCTCTCTGGGGAGAAGCGGGTGAAAGAGAAGCCAGAGAGAGAGGCAGGGAGCAAAGGCGGGCCTGAGAGGACGGCAGCAGAGCCTTCGATAGAGAAGAAATGGGGCGGGCCCGCGGGGGTGGGCGCGCGGCGCAGAAAGAGCGTCAGTCCTGGTTTGGGGCCGCCTGGAAGTGGGCGGCTGGAGGTCAGAGGCCAGGCCCTGGGTCAGGGAGGGTCGGTCTCCCAAGGCCAGGAGCAGCTGGGGGCTGGGAGGGCGTGCGGGGCCCAGCTCCCGGCTGCTGCTGCGCGGCCCTCCC